CTGACCACCAGCCTTTTAGGGGCGATAAGAGAATATTGGAGTATAAGGGACGACTATGCATACCATCAATAGGCCTATATTTTGGCATTTACTAGAGCTCCCGTTTTGGTGGATCAGTATGATAATGATGCACCCCCATTCCTTGGGCATAGATTTATAAGAAAATATATTCTGAAAAGGGTCCTATAAAACTTTCTATAAATGTGGACCTCCAAATTTTATAAGTTCTGGAGCAATACCATCTTTGCCAATCTTCATTTTCTCTATAGCCCACATGACATCCTCCTCCCAGATCACATCATCATATACATGTGTTCGTATTTCTTGTCTGTCTTCCACTCTCTCTTCCGATCCACCAACGAACAATGCAGAATAATGGAATCGCCATCTCTCCAATATTTCCTTATCTCCAGTAATTAATTCCCCTGATTCATCCTTAACATTTCTAATGGGCTTTTTCTATGAGGTAGAATACTGAGTTTTGGAGGGGAAAATTATATATGAAAAGGAGAATAGGAAGGATTTCAGGCAGGCGTAATTAGATTAATTTGGCAGGAATGCCATCTGGACCAATAGAATCGGAATGTAATTTCATCACAGTGGATATGAGGTCTGTGGGCGAGATCTATGAAAAAGTAAAAGTTGTCGTCGTTGAAAGATGTACCACGAGAAAAAATGAAAGAGGTAAAAGGACGAATGGAAGATAAAGCAGATATAAAATATGAATTTAAATCATCTGGTTAAACTAGAAAGACTGCTGAGTGAGGGGACTAGGAAGATTCACAGAGGGAGAGTTTACTAAGGATTAGCCATTTAGATTTGGAATCAGGAATTGATGAAAGGGATTCATGGAAATAGGTCGATTTGGCTCATCGGATTGTGGATTGTTTCAGGTTGCGGAGCACCCTAAACGCTTGATAGCCGTCGGCCAGCCAGACATCTAAAGCGTCTATGGGCAGCATTACACATCTTATGAATCCTTATTTGCTTACACGTGCAGAGAGGAGGATGGCGATGAAAGTTGGAGATATTGAGGGAGGCGTTCATCGTATTCTTCTAATAACCCTTTTGAAACATAAATATCGAGTAGGGAACCTATCCCTTTTATTATTTATAAAAGTTGATCGATAGCATTTTGAAACACTCCGGAAGCATTAGTAATACCAAACCATAGGCGTGTATACCAAAATAGTCCCATGTGTGTGTTTATTGTGATAAGATCTTTAATGCAGTCATCCAATTGTTGGTAAGCATCTTAGAGAACACTTCAGCTGCCTCAAAGTTAGTGTAAATATAATAAAGGTGCGGAAGCTGTTATTTATCGTCTGGGTAAGGACTGATTAATAGTAAGCGGGTCTTTAGTCCATCCTTCTTTAGTATTGGTACAAATTCACAATGATCCACATTCTTCAGGATACACAAGTAGAAAAGGTGTATTAACTTCATTTCTATCTTTTCTTTCAATGCTAAAAGTAATGATCGAGCTCTTAAAAACTTTGGAATAGCGTCAGGCTGATGCACTTGCAACTTTGATTCTATGGGATTTTCATCTTAGGAAACACGTTTCCAAGCTAGTGCCATTTATAGTAATTTGTCTCAGTTTTTGAACAATATGGTCAAAATCAGCTCTTATTCGTCTTCCGAGGTTATCCCATAAATGCTTAATGAGGTTCAAATCTGGAGAACGTGCTGGCGAGGCTAAAACCTCAATATTGTTCTGTTGAAGGAACGTCTGCACTATGCGGGCAACATTTGGGCGTGCATTAAAATAGAACGATCACCGATTTCGTTGAGGATAGGCAACACATGAGGTTCCAAAATCTCAAATACATAGCGAATGGCCGTCAAAGACCCTCCACGAACAACAACCAATTCTGTGCGGCGCTCCATTGAAATCCCAGCCCACACCATTAAGGAACCACGTTCGAAAGGTTAGCTCTGGGAAAAATTACAGGCTGCATATCTTTCGTTTCTTCTTCTCCACACCCTTTCACGCCCGTATGGAGATCGAAGAGCGAATCTTGACTCATCTGTAAAAAGTACAGCACTCCATTCGTCCATAGTCCAATGGCTGTGTTCTCGAGCAAAAGCCAGCCGTGTTACTCTGTGAGTTCTGGTCAACTCTGGTCCTCTTACTTGACGAAAAGTCATTAATCCATACTCATTTAATCTTCTCCGAGCGGTACGTTCAGAAATTTGCACACCTCGAACTTCTTCGAGCTGATGAATCGCTTAAACAACGGTAAGGTGCCGGTTTCGTAAAATTCTCAAATATGGAACTCCGATGGCATTAGCTGCATATCTAATGGAACGTCCATCATCAATAAGTGCCACACCACGCTCAACATCCTCAGCACTAGGCATTTTTTAGGCATTTTTTAAGGCATTTTTAAACTTAATATTGAAAAAATTAAAAGCCGGAGACTAAGAAATGTGCTGCAAGAAACGGCACAGAACTAATGATACTGAATAAACATTTTGATTCCATAGAAAGTAAACATTGGAGTCTAAAATCATTTCATTGAGTTAAGGATTAAGGGTTATTGTCCTCTATATTAACATTCCTAACTGAAAACAAACAAAAAGATTACCTATTTATTCATTAAAAACAATAGACCAATCCAAAGCAGAAATATTTTTAGATGAAAACATGAAAAAATCAAGTGGGTGGAATTTTTTGCCTATCAGTGTATAACAGAAACATAATACAATACAGAAATAAAAAAGTAATATACTTTTTAGAATATGATTAAATTTTGATTGCTCATAGTTTTTTTCAACTTTAATGTTGATTTAGTTAACAAGACACACGAACTCTACTTCTCCAATATAACCTTTTAGTTTTGTACAACAGCAGTTAATAAATAGTTTTGAAAGTTGAAACGCATATTTCATTTCATTTGACTTGAGTAAAATTAATAGTTCATATTAACCTTAGGGAAGTTTTTGTATTCCATATTAGAATGTATAACATTGGTGACAAGGATAAAAATGACAGAATCAATAAATTTACCGGCATCAAAAATATTCGACCCAAAACAACAAAGTTGGAAATTCTTTGTAGAAAGAATGGTCAGCACTTTCAAGTATACCTCATCCACAGAGAAGATGTGAAGAATTATTTATTTTATGATGAGGTAATGGGTCTGTTGCATCTGCCGTACTGAAATCTAAGACATTTCAGGGAGCTCACTACTCTGTTGACAGAGCATATTGCACCCATCATATCAGTCTTTGCGGCTCAAAGGGAATTATACGCAGACAAATGGGACATTTGACTCCTATGTGTCAAAGAAGGAAGGACAAAGTTATCAGTCAGAGTCATCATCTTCAGATGAGGTAAGCCTATGTGACTCATTTTGTACCATCAGACATGATATATATATATAATGATGCCCAATATAGTGTGGACCTGATTATTGATACTCAAAATTATAAATTTGAGATTGATAAGGACTCGTTATATAACATTATTTCAGACATTTTTTTTACATGTCCTACCAAATGATATTAAACTATCATAATATGTAGGTAATCCTATAAGGATATAGGTCATCAGCACCCGATCAAAAAAAAGAATGTTATTAAAATATTTAGCTAACTTAATGTAGTTTAAAAATGGAGGTACCCCGCTAATCGACCGAAGAAGGTTATAACAGTTGAAAATCAACCGCAACCCTGGCAAACCGCAAACCAGTGCCTAAAAATCGACCTGATGGCAGACAAAGGTTTGAATGTAAATTACGAAAGTGTATGATACTCTAAGTAAAATGAACTTTGTCTGCCATTCCAGAGCTGCTGCTTTAAAAAATGGCAGCTGTTTTAAAGAATATTAGGTCAGTAACTTGAGGATCAAAACGAGAAATTCATTGCGGAAAATGTGGGAAAAGATTTAATTTTTTTAACTCGTATATATGGATTTATACATGTAAAAATCAAAATTGATAAGGCGGACCACCAAGGGAAAACTTTTTAAAGCCAAAAAAGCCAGATTTTTGCAATGTTTTATGGTTTTTTCAACTATAATTGCATAGATGATGCATCGTATTGTAAAATGTATTCTTAAAGAAATTAAAGAATCTTAAATTGTGCGTTGAATGAGTACCTTAACTTAATAATTTGGTTAAGTGGTATTTTCTATCATACCACTTAACCAAATTATTAAGTTAAGGTACTCGTTTGACGCACAATTTAAGGTTCTTTAATTTCTTAAAGAATACATTTTACAATACGATGCATCATCTATCGCCAATGTTATAACTTCCAATATGGAATACAAAAACTTTCCTAAAGTTAATCTTATGTATTAATTTTATTCAAGTCAAATGAAATATGCGTTTCAACTTCAACTAGACTTGGTAACAATACTAATAATTTGTTCAGTAAAACATTATTTTCCTCATAAAATGATTTCTTACATAAATGTGGATCCTACGTAATGCTAACTATTTGTAAAACTCAAACCTTATTAGTGAATTAGTCTACAGCTCTATTAATGAGATTTAATAAATCATTAGAACTTCAAAATTAACAAGCTATATTTAAGAGAAAAAAACTATAATATAACTATTCAAAAACACATAAAACAAAACACTGTGGATCACTTATTAGACAACATAAAGATTAAAGAACTCCTCAAAACTCAAGAATAGCATTATTAACTGACCAACCTCATTGTCAAGGACTACTTAAAAACCACCAATGAATATCAATACAGAATGTAATATGACATTTTGTGTCACTGCTTTACTTGTTCCATAAATCCTTAATAAATAAATGTATATAACAAACAACAGTCACTTGCAAGCTGATATATAAGTAACCACTTTTCAAAGTGATGAGTTCAAAGTTATCATTAGAACAGATCACTGACAAATAATTCATTATTCAAAACTTTAATATTACAAATTACCTACAGAATGTTAAATGAAAATGAAATACTAAAATAATAAAAACTAACATAAAAAAGTAATTAATTGTACAAAGAATTATGAAATTACCACTAATTTATCGATTGTCTCCAACGTTTTCATTTTGAAATCAGTTCTAGGCTTTTGAATTCTACTGTCAAGGAAGTTGGGATAACAACCAGTAATCGAAACATACAAACCACAAGGAGGATAATGCATAGAGATAAAATAATGACCGTTAAGAAGAAGATAATAGAATATTGTATAGAAGATAACTACTAAAACGACAATAAAATTATCTTCTCCATAAAAAAAGGAAATAAACTTTATTTGGTAAAGTGTATTATCGAGAATATGTTTGATATGAAGCCAGTAGGCTACGACAGAGCGTGTTCAAAGGACTGAACGTATGGGTGCAGAATGGATGACCGGCAGTGTCAGGAGAATGAGATATTATTCTTAGGGGACAGTAGTCCCGCAATAAATTTTTTTCATTTTCATGTGATGCTAGACCCACCGGGATCGCCGCTGTGCTGTGGCATCATATAGGTAGCGAAGAAAAGCCAGCCGCCTTGCCTTACCTTCGCTGACCCCAGCGGAGAGAAATTATAGTCAGCAAGATAGAGAGGTTCCAGCGATTGTGTTTGGGATCAACCACTCCTCTATGTACATTTATGGGGAAAAGTCTCAATAGGTAATATACAATTAACCTCTTTCCAGGATTCTACACCAATCAAACAAATTGCCGGTAATGACGTCTGCGCGTCTTCTAAGATACGCTTCATTTTTATCTCAATCCAACTTTGAAGTCAAATTTAGATCGGTGTCGGAAAATGCAAATGTCGACTATTTATCAAGAGCCCTCTCAAACAAACGGGGTCATCTATCGATTGCATTCTTGATAAACAAGTCCACATGATTTGTTCTGCGACTATCAACCAAATTTCGAACAATAACATCACAGCCGAGATGATCGCTGCATAAACAGAAAGAGACGAAAAGTTTTCAAAAGTTAAGATCGACATGGTAAACGGGAGTTGTACCGATTTGGAATATTCGCTTGATTCAGGCATTCTTTTCAAAGGCCAGCAGGTTGCCATCCCCAAAAATTTCCAGCCCTTGATTGTCCAAGAACTCAATGAAACACATATTGGAGTTTCTAAAATGAAACAACTGGCGCAGAGAAATTGTTCAGGGACTGGAATGACATCGAGCGTCTCGTACGATCTTGCGAGTCCTGTGCATAAATCAAGAAAACCCGTACAAAGTTCCCATACACCCATGAGAAGAACCAGTTGAAAATTTGGATCGGCTCCAAATAGATTACGTGGGTCCATACAAAGATAAACATTTCCTAATCTTTGTTGATGCTAATTTACACTGGCCTGAAATTCGCTGCATCAACGAGGCCCCAACAACATCAAAAACCATTCAGCTATTTTTGGAAATATTTTCAGCTCACGGATTCCCTACGGTACTTGTATCCGATAATGCACTAATATTCACCAGCAATTACTTTAAAAAAATCTGTTTTACCAACGGCATAAAGCAGAAATTTTCTGCTCCTGGCTATTCAGCCACCAACGGATTGACAGAAAGTAATGTTCAAACCATCGAGAATGGACTAAAAACCATGGAAAATGAAATAATTCCAATCCATGAAAAACTGCAGAAAATCATGTTTACCTGCCAAGCCACTCCCCTCGCGGATGGTGAATACCCAGCTGAGAAAGATCTAAAAAGTACCATGAGAATTCGCTTGGACGTCATAAAACCTTAAAAAGAAAATCCGAGATCAATTGTCATTCTGGACACAAGACAGATGCACCTTCAAACGGCATATCAATCAACTACTTCGGACCGACATGCCAAAGAACACAACTATATCGGCTCTATCTATATTCCTGGATTACCCTACTCATAGAACGCCAGCTTGTGAACCTCAACAACCCACGGAAGGAGAACAAGATTGGAATCCAATTGAATCGAGACGCTCGGATCGACCACCAACTTCCTCGACACCTCCGAGATTATGTACTGTACAACCAATATAATATAATAATATACTCGGCAAGAGCAATACTAATACGAGGTAGCTCAATATAATTATTATAATCGAAGAAAAAAAGTTGTTCGGAATATTATGAACGCCGACGGTCCTAAGCAATGCCCTCTAAAGGTAGCCGAGATCAAAGGCCAGTTCAGAAGCCTCTTTGACAATTAAAATCACTGCAAACGTGTGGATTATGAAAATTGTGCCCCGACGGCAAATTTAACAACCATCGATATCCAAGCAATAAAAAAATCTATAAAATCAATGTCATTGGACACATCGCTTGGGCCTGACGGTGTTTTGATCCGCACTATAAAATACTTCGAGGTATCTCATATCATCAAGACGAAGATTATGCTGAAGCTGGCTTAAGCACCAGAGGCTCTACGTCAAGGGCGCACAATCCTGATCTATAAGGGAAAAGAAAATGCCTATAGCATATCTGCATGGAAATCAATTACCATTTATTCGATCGTGCGCCGAATCATTGAGAATATTCTGGACCAAGATCTGAGGAAACAGATTACCTACAGCAATAATCAGAGAAGCTTCATCAGGAGCCTACCGGGAGCACATGTGAGCGCAGGAATCATCGACGCGATCATAAAAGATGCCAAGAATAAAAAGAATGATTGCGCGGTGTTATTTCTTGATGTTGTCGGCGCTTTTGACAACGTTGGTCACGATCATATAATCAGCTCACTCGAGGCAAGAGGAGTGTCACCGAACCTGAAAAACGTGATTACGGCTTACCTGGGCTCTAACCTAATGAAGATTGGAGTCGCAGCCCACTCTACAAACTGGATCAAAGTTCAGCGAGGAGTACTCCAAAGCGGACCCTAGCTCGCTGTTCAACCTAGTTATAGACCATCTATACCGCGACCTTTGTGTGCAGGAATTTTCGAAGTGTTGTTATGGATACCAACTAACAAGCTACCAAGAATGTGTGGTCCTTACAGGCTTCGCGGATGACCAGGCTGTTACGACACATGACTGGAGTGCTGCAGAAAGGATTATCAATTGTGTGCAGAGGATAGCTAAGAGAAAATTATTTTGAAGAATGGGCCAGCTGCAGGTGGCCAGGAGTTGAAGTCCGGCATTTTAAAGAAACCCCGAAACCTAATAAATACAAATGCCAAAAGCAAGTGCTTTCGTTATCAGGATGGTCCATCGCTTTAAACCTCAACATCAATTACGCACCTTTGCGTGGAGTCCTAGGAGCAAGTGGACAGTCGAAGGAAGTTGGGTCCCTTTGTCGTAAGTTCGGCAGAGAGTCTAAAACACCAACCCATGTGCTGTGAAAATTTTCCAAAACACTCTCCTCATAACACGCCGGCAAGATAGATTCAAGTTTGAATTGGTGAGACTCCTTAGAGAAAAGGAATTCACCTGCTTTGACGAGGCTATTACATCGACAGTAAAGGCTCAACCAGGTATGCAGACATTGTTGCATTTCCCAGGACATAAAAGACAGCTCTGATCTTGGATACAACTATCTGCTTTGAGAGTAATGACCTCGATTAGGAGGGTGAAGTGGAAAGGGAAAAGAAAAACATAAACGATAAATGTATCCGTTACCTAAAAGAGAAGTTCCGTGAGATCATAGGAAAGAAAGAGTTCACCGTGAGAGGTCTCTGGTTTGGGTCTCGCGGTATGATTCCAAAAAGAACAAGGAGCTTCCTCGAGGAACAAGGTGTTGATGTTGGGGAGCTTGCGATATTGGCCGAGGATATAATTCTGGCTTCCCTAGGATCATCCATTTGTTTGAATTTATGATGTTAATTTTAAGACTTTGAATTTATGATGTCCTTTGTCATTTATCTAATTATTAATTTAATTCTAATTTTTTTGCTTTGTGTCATCTTTTTGTCTATATTCATGGAATTGTTTTGATATATGTGTGGGATTTAGTATTGTATCTCTAGCATTCGAATAATTTCTTTCTTTTTTTTTTTTCATAGAATATATGCATTGTACAATGTGGTATTGTTAATGATATGGTATGTGGACTAGTATTGAGAAAAGGGATAAAAAAAATGATATGCTTATATAATAACGGAATAATGTGATGTAAGAGCTATGTCCATATGGATTGGACAAATTTGGCAACAACAATTGAAAAATTAAGGGTTTTATGCAGTGAATACAAAACTGGAATATTTTTATATGCTTTAATATTATCCAAATTTACAAAATCCTTTTCGTTGCTTACGGTCAATAAGATCGAACTATTATTTAAAAACTTGTGGACCACAACCTTTCACAAATCTACAAACATTAAAACGGCTAAAATCCTGAAATCTTTTATTACCCTGGTTATCACCCAGTCTCATTATTAAATATTTGGTTTACCATTTTCCCTTTGATTTAAAAATGTACTCCTGAATGGGAGGAAGTATTGGTTCTAATGAAGCTCCCATTAGTTGAAACGATAACTTGAATAAAAAAAATAAAAAAAGGAAATCCATAGTATCTAAAATGAATGAGATTTATATTATAATGTCTATTCAGAGATGTCCATTCCCTTAAGATCGATGGCGCAAGAATCCACTCTCCCGCCCTCCTCTATTCCCAAGATATTTTGTTGCTCATATTTTCTTTGGTTGATAAATATTCAGGACGCAGTCTTTTTTAAATTTTTTTTTTATTTTTGCCAACGTTTCAACCTAAACATGTGGGTCATCTTCAGGGCTGAAAATGTTTTTTTAAAATTACAATCAGAGATATAATAGTATACGACCGCTAATTATAAATAATAAACTATAGTGATTGATGAACATGAACATGAATCTTAAATAATATTGTAATACACATATTAAAATAGTTATACATTTTCAGCCCTGAAGATGACTCACATGTTTGGGTTGAAACGTTGGCAAAAATAAAAATTTTTTTAAAAAAGACTGCGTCCTGAATATTTATCACCCATGATATGTAGAACAGTCGATTAACTTCCTTCAAGAATTTATATTTTCTTTAAAACAGAGCAAGCGAAGATAGAATTAGAATAATGAAAAAATAATTTTATTCTGGTACTACAGTCCCCTAAGAATAATAACAGTGTTACAAA